GTTTAATACTTTCTTTTTCCTCTGTTTCTCTCTATGCATTGTTGAATCTCAAGCCTTGTGGGTTTTGTGTTGTTGTCTTTGGCTTGTTTTAGGTGCCAATGAAGAAATAAAGAAGCTGCAAAATCAGAATCAACTCTAAATGATGAGATTCTCTTATTCTCATTTAGCTATGCATTTTCTTTTTATTAAAAAAAAACACAATTTATGTCAGTTTCAAACTTTAGAGAGAGGCTTTGTATATTGTTGGTCCTAGTCCTGAAACTGTAGATGAATCCATATTATACAGTAGAATAGATTTCATTGTAAAAACCACATTTTTTTATATTCGAATAGATTTCATTGGTCTACACATATATCAAAATGTTGTAAAAAAGCTTGAGAATTTTATAAAACTAGGTGATTCTTCCGCGTACACGCGGATAAATTACTTATGTAATTTTGTCTTTAATTTTAGTCTTTAAAATTTTAAATACGTAGTTGTTTTGATTTTTATTAAAGACATTGTTGTTGATTCATTTGTTTTTAATTTTTTTGGTCAATAATATCGTTTTTATTAATAATATGAATTTCAGAAATTTAGTTTTACCATTTAATTATTTTATATATGTAAACGTATCAAATCAAAATGAATAATAATTTAATACATTAGATTTAAAAAAATTCATGCTAAATTTGGCATGTCTGAATATCTTAAATAGAATTTAGAATACAGATAAATTATTTAATATTTTAAAACATTAAAATATATAATCATAAATTTATAAATGAAACACATATTTTATATTTTATAAATGAAACACAAATTAAAAAAAAGAGTTGCTTTCGAATTAAAAAAAAAATTATTACTTTCAAATTGTCTTGCGTTAAAAAAAATTCAAAAAAATAATTATATTTGTTGTTATAAACTTGGGAAATTATTATGGGAAAATTGCAAAACTGCCACTTTTTATGTGTACATTTGCAAAAATACCATTTAGGGGTGTTCAATTGCAAAAATGTCACTAATTATAGATTTTTAAACCCTATATCTTAAAATTCTAAACATTAAAAAATGTTTTGACCCCTGAACCCCCTAAACCCTTATAACTAAACCATAATAGAATATAATTAACCCAAACATAAATAATATAAAGAAAAAATAATTTTGAAAAAGTGGCATTTTTGTAAAGTTTTCAAAAGTGTGCCATTTTTGTAAAGCTTTCAAAAGTGTGGCATTTTTGTAAAGTGACACTTGAAAAGTGGCATTTTTTGAAATTTCTCAATTATTATTTTTACAAACATATCAAAATCTCCTTTAAAATTTTTGTAAGTCTTTATTATTATTTTCAAAAAAAATATATATTCTATAAAAATGTTCTATAATTTTATTATTATAATAATCAATTTCTAAACTATTTTTGAATGAGAAACGAAACTTTATATGATTTTAGAATAAAAATGAAAATCTGATAATATATTGACTAAAAACTCTTTTAATTTATTTACGGTAACAATTATATTTAGTTGTAAAATATATTATTATTTAATTTAAAATTATCGTGTCACAATTTTCACAAACTATGTCACAATTGTTTTGGTGAGAGTGATTGTGGAGATGACACATAAACATCTTCTCAAAAAAATTTCCCCTTAATATATAAGGATCGTTAATTTATACTTTGAAATTGTTAGATTAACACAACTTTATAATCTTATATAATATAGTAAGGTTTCTCAAAATTCAAGTCATGAAAGGTTGCCAAGTGTCATCTAAATTTTTGACATTTGTCTTTTTTTATTTATTTATTGAAAAAAAAAATTAAGTGTCTTTTAATAACTTTAACAATTAATTCTAACAATTAAATAGCTAATTTTTATGTAAATTAATTCTAATAAATTACAATTAAGTGTTTTGTGTACATTTATATAATTCTTATGTAAATTATAATATAATTCTTATGTAAATTTATGTATAAAAAATAAATATTTTATTTATCAAATCCAACAATCTTATATAATACCAAAAAAATAAAGAAAACAATGGCTAATATATATTACAACTTATTGGAATTAATTAACATTAGAATTATGTATTAAATTGTTGGAATTGATTGTTAAAGTTATTAGAAAGAGAAAAATAGATATAAATTTTTATTTTTCTCCTAAATAAATAAATTAAAAAAAAACACATGTCAAAAGAGTAGTTGCCACATGGCAGCCTCCCACTCTCGGGACACACACTCCGTCAAGCTCTCGGTATGCAGGGAAACTCACATCCGCTGGAGAGAACTAACATCTCTCAAAGAAAATACCTCACATTCTCTAGAGGGAAACTCACATTCCCTGGAGAGAACTCACATCCCTCCTAGAGCAATTAATTTTTTCACATGCATCATAAGCACCTATCGACTAGAACTATCTCCCGTGGTTCCACCATGACATTTCACTATCCCGGAATATCATCTCATCCATGACCAACCCCCAGGTCATCTGAAACAACCCAATCACCCAAGGTATTTCCACTAGAGTCCTAGAGTCTCTAGAAAATAGACAAGTTCTAACTCACATAAAACTTATATTTCCATCCTCAAAATACATAACTCATGACATAATGATGCATCCCCCAAACCCGACATCCCCGCGGCCGTTCCCCCCTGGACTATCCCCACGATGAGGTCTAAGCCCATRACGCGATCCGGAGCTCGAACCTTGCAAGAAAACATCAACACCGCGGTGAAGGCTTTCTTTGCCCAAAACAACGCTGATTTAACCA